AGGTCTCCTCTCAGCCTCCTCTTCTCTAGACTAAACAACCCCAGCTCCCTCAGCTGCTCCTCGTAAGACCTGTGCTCCAGACCCTTCACCAGCTTTGCTGCCCTTCTCTGAACCTGCTCCAGAACCTCAATGTCCTTCTTGTGGTGAGGGGCCCAAAACTGAACACAGAATTCAAGGTGCAGCCTCACCAGTGCCGAGTACAGGGGCACAATCACTTCCCTAAATTTTAAGCCCACATTCCTTCTATCTAAGATATCCCTGCTGCCATTCCTCCTCCCAGCATTATACTTTGTACCTCCACCTCTCTTCAATCCTCCTTGATAATCAGGCACCACACAATTTGGAGCTGCAGAGGTGCTCAAGCCATCTCACTGACAAGACAAAACATTAGTAACTGCAGTCTGTGGTGAGCACTCCTTCCTTAGTGGAAACACACCAATCCCTCAGTGAGTAGGAACACTGATTATCAGTGCGCACTACCTGCATGCTTCTGCTACAGACAGGTATACTATGGATCAGCATTACTGTGTAGTAACCACCTTTCAGCAGCTGACTACAGTTATTTCCTTCCTGTCTCTGACTCCATTTCTCTAACTCTTGCTCCCCAGGAGTGGATAATTTCAATGGTTTTACTTGCGACTCCTATGTCAAACACTGGTGCATGGAATAGGAAGCAACCGGAATTGCCTTGCAAAGTTGCTACTGAAGTTTTACCTATTGTGGAAGTTTTGGAAGTTGGAAGTCCAGTGCATGAACTTACCTGTTAATATGGCAATGCTGATGATTTTCAGGATTGAGTGAACCAATGTATTTGGCTGGAGCTGGTCTAGCTGTATATACCGAACACTATCCAGTTTCTGAACTTGTCTTCGTGGAATGTCTCTAAAGTGCGGAAATCCTGATGATATGTATGACAATAAGCCATGGAGAACACCACCATCCACTATAGGATAAACTTTATGAAAAAACAAAGTTAAAGGGACACCCTTTTATTTAAGCTTAGAAGTACAGAATTTATAGGTCGGTATGTATTTACACTGACAAATCTGAAACTGTTTCGTAAAAATTTTACAGCAATAAATTCTTAAGATGTGTAACACTTGATCCAAAATTAAACTTCACCTGCCTCCTCTTGGTAACATCTCAAAGCTAAGTACAGTATTTTAAATTACACCAAAAATAGGAAAGAAATCTTGTATCATAGCTTGGTAAGAATAGCTCTTCTTGATCATTTACTCCAGAACCTGCCTTAAACAGATGGCAATAATGGGCATCAGGAAGACAGTAAGAACAATCCAAGTTCATGGTGACACTTCCACTGTGTTTCCCCCTTACTCTCCAACCCTCCATGGCTCAGGTATCTTTAAAGACTTTGTGCTTAATAGCCTGGAATGAATTACTTTCCCTGAATGGATCTACTTACTCTAAGCCTCTAAAATTTTCAAAAAAATTCATCATGACATCTCAGACATCTTATGGTTGAGTCCTGGAATAACTACTGTTTCTTAAACTGAGGTCAAAGAATTCACTTTTTCAGAGTTCAGAGTTTTGAATGGTAACCACCCAACTTTACCATAAACTCCACATGCCTATCTGATGTCATTGTGTTCACATCTTGTCCACAGATGTTCCTGTAATACTTTCCTGTAGTGTTCAGTATGTCTCAGTTGCTCATATTTCGATTTTATTGTGTGTATAAGGCATTGCCAACAAAATGGAGTACTTTAAATAGCTATTTTACTGTGACTTTTTGTGATAACTTATGCACTACAATCTTACATTCTTCTGGATTGAGAGCTGAGCAGTTCCCCAGATTCAGTAACTGACTGGTAAATGTGGATTGCAGCATGATTTCTCCACACCAAAGATTCTCATACATTATTACATCTGCAAGAAAAAAGCAACCTTATCAACTTATCTATCAACAATATTGAAGTCTATCATACTTTTGACTACAGAACCATCATACATACAGGTGTGAAAGACAGTCTGAAAGCAATGACTTGGAAACAAAGTGATTTTTTTTTCTACATCTACGAACATCATTTACAATGAATTAACCAAATTTTCTCAATAGCTTGATGGTATTCTTCAATCAATATAAAATACTGAATAGCCTCATCGCAGGTACAGTATAAGTGAAGTGGGTAACTGTACTGGGTAAATTATTATTGTGCAGCATTTCAGAATAAATAGTAAAGTACTAGGCTTACCCAGAAACACTTCTGATGTATTTTGAGACAAGAACCTCTAAGAAAAGAAAAAGCCCAACTTATCTTCACTATCTTTAAAATATCAAACTTCCTACATACCTATAAGCACTTAAGGAACTCTCAGAGAGAAACAGGCATCTTAAACTGTAGAAGTACTCAGACAATTATCTATTGTATAATTTTTTTGCATATTGCAAAACCTAAACGGCCAGATCACTATGAAGTTCCGGCCCTAAATTAGGTGCAATGTTGCTTTCATAGTACTGCATTCTCTTACATGAGATGTATTCTCTTAAAGACAGAGGGTTTTGCTCTTGTAAGGTATTAAAGAGTACAAAAGATTTATCAGGAGGAATCTCCTGATGTGTATGAAAAAGGTGAACTGCAAGCAGAATTTCATATTTCTGCAGTCTGTGTCAGTTGCTAATTCACAACATAATCCATCTCAAGATGCTAGTGCTAAGCTACAAAGTCTTTCACAGCAGGAAAAGTATTTCTTATCCTGAGACTGAACATAACATCAGAATTTTCTGGTCCCTCTGCTGGTCCAACAGCAGAGAATTTTAAAAGTCTATAAATCAAATAAGTAGCACATCTGGTTTGTAGTAGCACTTGTACCTTTCAGGAACAACTGTTTTAAAACACTGACAGGTTACAGAATACATCTGAGTACCTATGGCACTGCTGTAGTGTCAATGCGCTGCTGTCTCAGATCAAACACTATACATAAGAGATTGCCAGACTTCTGTGGGACAGTCTGTGTTCCACTGGCAGGATGACTGAGAATTCAAAGTGATGTTGAGCGATGTTTGAAAGATACTTACAAATGCTTAGCCATAGAACAATATGTAACCAGTAATTTGGAACTACTTGAAACAGGCATTTTAAACATCACTTTTAAAAAAGCAAATAAAATGAATCCTCACCTGTAAGCAGCACAACATCCCCAGGAAACACAGTGAGTGACCAAAACGCAGCACCACGCCACAGCACCACCTTTCTCTCAATCTCTGACTGGTCAGTAACTACAATTGTTGCTACAGGAACTTTACATGAAGATTTTGGTCTAGTCTTCACCTGTATTTCTTTGATATGACAAGGATGCACTATTGTGACCAAAACATTGTACTTCTGATTTTTGCAGCAGCAATTCTTAAGTGGTGATAGCTTCTTTTGAAGTTTCTTGAACTCTGTCATCCTCTCTTGATCCACTCTCATCCCATGACCAGATGGAGAAGAATTGAGTTTAGGTCTTTTTGATTTCAGCTGTCTTTTAAATGTTGAGTGAAAAATACGAAAGGAATCCTCACAGTTGTGGGCTCTTTTAGAAGAGCTCTTATGAGAACTGTCTACTTGAGAGCACAATATTCCTGAGCTAAATGGTTCAATATGGATTTCGTTTACAAATTGCCCATCAGGAACATTAAGTTCTTGAGATTTCTCTGTCATTACCTGAGCATTTCCTTCTTGTTTTGTAGCTTCAAAGGAAATACTTTTCCCATCACCCTCAGAACTGAAAAGTTCAAGGGAATTTGTATACTCTTCCTTACATTCATTTTTACCCACATTAAGATATGTTCCAACATCAGAATCAATTTGGAAGTGATCATACTGTTTTTCTTCAGGTTTTTTGCCTGCTTCTTTTTCCGATAGTTTTACAATTCCGTTCTGCATCTCATTCTGATGTTGTGCAAAAACAACCATTTGACTTGAAGTCACTATACTACGAAATTCAGTATTCGTTGACACTGCAAAGTCTGAACAATCACTTGGTTCTCCTTTTGATTTTGACTCTTGATTTTGAGGGAAAAACATATCTAAATACTGACTTAGGTGCTCATAGTGATCATTTTTACAATCTGCTTGAACACTTTGTCCCACAGACCTTAGATGTATGCTAATCTGCTTAGTACTGGCAACCAAATCAGAAATGTCAGAATTGTTAACTTCTAAATGGCTGGCTTTTCTTTCAGTGTGGTTTGACCAGACATGTGATTGTTCCCCTAGTCTAGTTGATTCTGCAAATTTTTGTGGAAGGTGTTGATCTGCAGCCTGATTTACATTTGCATGTGTGCATCTATCTTTAGATATCTGACAATCAGAATAAATTAAACTTTCAGTCTTTTTAAGTGTACTAGTACAAGGTACTGTGACAGGTACACAAGATGTCAAATATTCTTTTGCTACCATTAATCTCCACAGTTCAGAGAGCTGAGAGCTGTCATCATTTGTAGGAACTGCTGGGACTAAAGAGCTTTCTGCCTGAAACACTAAGTGGTCAGCATCTTTCACTTTTTCAGAAAAAAGACCGAGTTCTCTCCATTTCTCAGCAGCAGGTGCTGAAGTACTTTGCTCTGACACCTCCAGCAGACTTGGAATACTGGGTGCTCCCACAAAAATATGAATTTGAGGTCTTTTAGACATTTTTTATTGCTGTGTAAGTTTGACTTTAAACAATGTGGTTTATGCAATAAGCACAACAGTAGATATTAGTAAACACAAATATATCTGGTCTTTTCCTCATTTAAAAATATCCAAAATTCAAATGAATATTTCATAATTTAACTGGTAAAATCACTACTTTACTAAAAGTCTCTAAAATTAAATGTATGAAATAAAAAATGGAATTTGTGTCAAACTTGTGTAAAGAAAAATTTACAGCAGGGCTTAATTTACGATTCTGGTACTTGGAAACACATTGCAGATTTAGAATTACAGCAAAGTTCAATTAAAGTTTAATTATTGAGCAGACTTATCTTCATTTATTACTGCTAACTAAACAGCCAAATGTGAATTCACTAATCAGTACTTCATTTTAATTCATGTGGAATAAATGCCTGTAAGAAACTTTCACAGCATGGTTAGGAGATAATTTCATCTCCCAGAAAATTACAGTTTCAACTAAATGAATAAAAATATAGCTATTTAAAATTTGTTTAAAAGTTTGCCAGAAATGCAACATTTTACATGCTGTTTTAGTGTGAAAACCCTGTATTGATTATTTTATGAAATGGAAGGTTTAATGATATTGCTGATAAATTAATTATTTAATAAGCCCTGAGAGGTCAGTGAAACTTGAGCAGATTATTTAGAATTTGCTTTAATTCATTTATATATTATTATACTACCCAAGAAATTACTAGCTTTCCTAGCTAATTAAAAATAAGCCCACCTTACACAGCAAAAAACAAAATATTATTATTTTTTTAAATTGCTGCTAATTTAAAAATACCCAGTTACAGTTACAAGTGTTCATTAAAATGCAAACACCTAGCTACATGTTTTAGAAGTGTTGTTCATAGAAGTTGCTGCAATAAGCAATTCCGCAGGGGCAGGAAACAGGACACCAGAAATTAAATTTGTGAGGTAATCCAGCTGCAAACAGAAGAAAAAGGGCATTGAAACAAATATAGCACTGAAAAAGATTTAATTTTTCATTTAGCACTTAATTTAAATTAACAGACATTTTCCTAACAACCCACTAGAGGTCGATAAAACTGCACATTCATAAAGCTCACAGTAACATGGAAAAACTATAACTGTATATGTAACTGGAAAGACAATATACAACCACTAAAACTGGATACATCATGTCATGTACAAAGGAACCTACCTCCCACTGCCCCTCATCTTCTTGAAGAAGCTACCTACTTGGACATCTATTCAGACATTATAAGTAGGAAAGAAAGACAACTACTATGCCCTTTCCACCTTTTTTTCCTTGAGAGTTTAATTCTGTGGACCTGAAAGATCTTGGAATGGTCTTACAGCATAGTCTAAAAAAAGCTAATTCCTCTTAGAAACTGCAGTAGTTTGCACTCAAGTTACAGCAGGCATGACACTGACAAATAACTGAAATATTTCTGCATTTTCTTCTTACGAGAATAACTCATCTTTTTACACCTACATTTATAAATACACATTAAAATGTGACTAATATTGAGTCTTTCGAAAATACTTGTTTTAGACAAGTACCCGAGTATTTGTTTTCATAAGCACACCTTATACCTAGGTAGCACTAACATGACAAAAATGTATGAATAAGAAATGGTGACTTATTAACTACAGTATTAAAACCCCACAAAATGAAAACATCTGTGAGCTACTGATCACAAAATAAATTGAACACCACCAAGATCTACTACTGTGTACATATAGGGACAACTGACATCATTAAGCAACTGAATTTCCCTGAAATAGATTAAAATGAATTTACAATAGGATGATGGTTATGCCAACTTCTAGTACAAAGATGAGTTTATTAAAGACGTGAACCTCTATACAGATGTGTTCTGAATAAATATCTAGTACATAAGAACACACCTGGAACAATATTACATATAACACATGTGAAATCAGATTAACAGCACTACTTAAGATGCCAATACTACTTTATTAGGAAAACACTTCTCAAAACAAAAATAACTTCTGTACCTCAGTAAATTTCCAGTTACACAGTTACAGTATATAGTATTTTATCAGCCTCTCATTTTAACTACTACTTCTCTTTTGGTTTTTGTCATGTTTAAAGATTAATAAAAGTTATGCATACATTTAGAAAGTTTTCCTTAATTTTACTGTAAAATTAAGTTTCTCTAAACTTCAGATTTTCTTTCCTGATTCATATTTTCCAGTGCAAGTATATTACATCAAAGGAATTGAATGCTGATGTTATTTAACTAATTTTTTCAACTAAAATATAATTTGTATTTTCAAAACCTAAAATTTTAATTTTTCTTAAGATATTTAGAGCTTCTGAATGGTAAGTGACCTCTGCCTACTTGCTGGCTCACGTAATGAGTCCACTACCAAAAAAACCACTTTGGCAATTTCCAAGCAACTTTTTAGGTCAAAGATACCAAACTCCAGTACTAGGAATCATCAGTACTTATAATCATTTGAGTCAGTAAATAAGAAAAAAATTAAAGTCTGGGTAAATCCTCTGTATGCAAAATTGTTTAAAGAATCTTTGCTATGCTTCTTTAGAACAGTATTACTACTTATTTAATGAATTTTCTTAGCGAAGTTCTGTGCTTTGTTTTAAATAAAAAGTTTGAAACAATGAGTCACTACAGATTAAAACCGTGAGCAAAAAACTTGTCATATTAGCAGAATGCCACTTCCACAAAACAAATCCATTTTTATACTGTAGCTATCTGTTGGTAGACAGGGGGTTAACTGCAACAAGATAACAGGAGCTAAAGCTCATAAAGACATAACTGAAACCTGAATGCACATATCCATTATACCTGTTAATTATTACACCATTTCTTCATTTGTGGAAAGGTGCTCTATTCATAATAGCCAATGAAAGCCTTGCTCTTTATCTCTGCAATGGTCAGAGTCTGATTGATAGGTCAATGTTCTATTAAGAAAAAGTACCTACATCAGCAAGTTTTACATTTGCAAGACACTACAACTGAAGTTTAATATACCTATTATAAGAAATACACTATGGTACATAGTATATTTCCCCTAACCTAAACAGTAAGACAGGAATTCTAAATATAAATGTTTTTAAATTGCACAACTATGCATTAACAGTTAACCTCTGTGATTTGCTACACGTAAGATAAAATTTAAAATGGGTTTAAAAATCCTCTTCCAATAGTTAAGTACTCTAGGAACACTGTGTGATACACATACAGGGCCTTAAGTTACGTTAGAAGCACTACTTTTATTCCGTATTTCACTGTTCATTAATAGTATTCACTCACCATGATAATCACTTAAGCATTAGGCCAAGGTAATTTAAAGAGTGCGACACAGTTTAGCTTCTTATCACTCCTGGATAGTAATGGTAGTCAGATGCCTAAAACCCTGTTTTGAAAAGTTACGTCCAAATATAGTTTAATCAATTATTTACTTAAGCCCTATACACTGAAAGTAAACCACACAAATTCCACCTTTGGGTAACAGTTTCTTTCTGTCTGTTAACACACTACACCCTGAAGCTACAAATAAAATTACAGAAATAACAGACAGCAATGCATCAGAAAACAAAAGATTAGAGCAATATAATGCAAAAGTGCAACTTATTTTCCCCTCCAGAATTTCCATAAACCCCAACACTGAAGGTTTCTGGGGTAAAAACAGTATATCCTTTTAACTTGCAGCTTTTATTTGGTACAGCTTGATGATGAACATCCAAACCTGCAAGCAGTTAACTAGATTCCTGCAATATGCAAAAAGCAACTACATTCTCCTTCACCTGCTGAAAAGCTGGCCCTGTAGATAAATACATAAAGATATTCTTTAAATTCTGAATATTAACTTCTACTGTGAGCTTTCCCCTCCCTCCTTTGCACGCATGATTTTACACTTCTATCTATAGTATAAACAAAATTGAAGGACTCTTTCATTGACCTTACAACAGAAGAAACTGAGTTATATATTTGCCATCTTCACAGTATTTACTTTCAGTTCCATCCAAGCTGTAGGGTTTTTTTAATGACAGTTCATGACATATGATGGTAGACTAGAAAAATTTCTAAGACACTTGCCAATCAAACGAAAAATAGAAATAAACCTCTGGATGTAGAATTATGATTACATCACAGGAAACTCTTCTGGCATTTTAGTATGCTGGTCAAATCTTCCTCCAAAATTCAACTTTGTCTTTTTAAAAGACAGGTACTGTAGCTGTACAATAACCTCAAAAAAACAAAGAAACCACAAGCAGTGTAGTAACATTCTCATATACCTAGAATGTGAAACAACTCCAGGATGGTGATGAACACTTTGCATGTCTGCTTGCAACTTGTGAAAGAAATTAGAAGAATGATGTTTATGTCAACAACTCATGCTGGCACAGCAAGTGAATCAATATATCAGCAACAGCACCTATCCACCAAATCAATGAGAAGTTCGGTCCAAATATATATACATATTAAGAGGAACCCAATGGAAAATAAAAACTGCCAGAGAAAATCAAGCTAAGTAACCTGTAGCTCAAGCAATCTTATATTCTACGTAAGAGTGAGGGATGTATCATATGGGCTTAAAAGAAGATTACACCTGTTAAGTGAAAGGCAGCTCAAGATTTAACTGGATTGTTTTAGACTAGGCTAGTGGGACCTAGTAAGAGGTCAGGAGAACACACATGGGATAAAGTACACGCATATATGAACAACTGGGGAAAAGGACAGGATAGGCAATTTAGGTTTTATTTTCGTCATTCTTTGTTTGGTGATGGTAACAATCACCAAACAGCTTTTATCTAAGTTTTAAGTACAGGCAAAGACTATAGTCCTATTTATAACTGACCTGTTTAAACAAAAGCAATTTTACTGCAGGATGGTTATTTGGCTCACATAACAACGTAATATTTCTGGAATACAGTGCACAGAGCCAGCTATCAACCAGACACAGTGGTATAGCAAGAATCCTGCTAGTCAATATCTAAACTTAATAAAATCACAAGC